TTTTTTTTTTTTTTTTTTTTTTTTTTTTTTTTTTTTTTTTTTTTTTATTAACATACAAATGTAACTAAGCGCTTACTTATACTATTTATTAATTAATTACATTTTCAATTAAATGTTGATTTTGATTTCTACAATGAAAGACGAAATTAAATTGAGAACATTGGGTTTGAGATCTGCAATGAGTGATTCAACCGAAAACGGACCGTACGGATGGATCTTTCTCAGATTTGCCAAAAAAATGTCTCTTTGATCTTTGAATAATTCACACTGCCAGAATATGTGGTTAACTTTTTCTGGACTTTGCTCGCATTCGCATTGTTTACTTATAACAATGTTGTGTCTAAACAGACTTACTTTTAATGATGTATGGTTGGACCTTATTCTATTTATGCTCACTAATGCTTTTCTTGGGATGCTGGAGTTGAGGCCAGCGAACCAGGGTTTATTAGATTTTTGAAAGAACGTTTGAAAAAATTTTGTTCCCTTGCCCTTAACTTTGTATTCTTGTAGAATTTTGGACTCTTTTATCTTTTTTAGTTCTGATTTAAATGAGATGACAGCGTCGGAGTAAGGAATAGGTAAGTTAAGGAGGTGTCCGCTCTCAGCTGCTGCCCTGGCCTTTTTATCAGCTTTCTCATTGCCTTGAATTCCCACATGGGATGGTACCCAGATAAGATGAACGTTTTTCCCTTCTAGGGAGCATTTTATGTATAGGTTCTTGGTTTCCAATATGAGAGTTGAGAAACTACCTTGGAGGGCTGAGAGGACGCTCAGTGAGTCAGAGAAGATTTTGAAGTCTGATTTGTCGCTTTGCCTTATACGACTAAGGGCCTGATAAATGGCTGTGCATTCCGCTGTAAAGATGGATGTCTCGTTAGGTAGTTGATATGAAAAGTTGAAGGGGTCATCTAGGCTATGGCTAGCAAGGCCAACTTGGTTTTGGTCGCTTATTTTAATTATTGAACCATCCGTGAATATGTCTGTGTAGTGTAGAGTATTGTTTTGATTGAATGAGTTATTAAACGCTACATATGGGTCAGGGGAATTTAGCAGTTTGTGGCCTATAGTTAAGTCTAGCTGGACTGGAAAAAAATTGTTCGAATATGGGTACAAGTACTGGGGGAGAATAGGGTAGGATTTGATGTTAAGATTGTGTTGACATATATTGGTGAAGCATTTTAGCAGTATCGAGGTGTCGAGATCGTATTCATGGTTGTAATTTTCGGAGGTCCTTTTAAGAGTGGTAATGTGTTCGATTGTAGGGTTGTTATTAGTTGATAATGCTTTTAGAATGAATCTGTAAGCCAGATATTTAGCCCTCAAGGAGAGATGCATAATTTTTGTCTCAGCTAAAATCACATTGATTGGAGTACTAGCTCTATATCCCATTGCTATTCTGAGGGATTTGTTCTGGATTCTTTCTAGTTTATCGGTATGGCATTTTGCACAGGGGGGGGTCAAAAAGGACCCATAATCTAGTTTGGATCTGATCAGAGATTTGTAAAGAAGAGTAAGCGTTTCTGGGTCAGCACCCCACCAAGTGTTTCTGAGGCAGCTGAGAATTTTGAGCCCCTGGTTGGCTTTATTCACTAGTTTGACAGTATTAATACCCCAATTTAGTCTTTTAACAAAATGGATTCCTAGAAATTTGACTGATTTAAATGGATACATCTCTGTATTATTAAGTTGTATAGAGTATTGGTCCAGTTTAATGTTCCCTTTGCTGAATATCATAAGATCGTACTTCTCTGGTTCCAGTTCCAGACCACTGTTGGATAGGTAGCTAGACATTTTGCCGGCCCCTGACTGTAGATGATCAAGTAGGAAAGGAATAATGTATATACTTACAGAGATTTCAAGGTCGTCTGCGAATTCCAGAATTGATATGTTACTGTTAAGGATTGATTTTATTCCTTTGGTATAGATAGCATAAAGCGTAGGGCTTAGTATACTGCCTTGAGGAAGGTCTTTGGTGGTGGTATAATTAGTATCTGAAGCGTCGATATTAACTGGGATTAAAATCCTATTTGAGATTAAATTTTTGATAAAGATGATGAATTGTTTGGGTAAGCCCAGCTTAACTCAATCATTTATAAGGATTTGAGGGATAACATTGTTGTAAGCTCCCTTGATATCCATAAAAAGAGATACGTGTTGTTTTTTTTTGGGCGAAACTGTTTTGAATACTGGTTGTTAGTTGAGCTAGGTTGTCCATGCAGGATTTCCCCTTCCTAAGCCCATACTGGGATGGCGATAACAGCTGATTATGTTCTAACCAGTGAGTCAATCGGCTATTCAGCATTTATTCCATTAATTTCAAGCTGCAGGATGCAAGCGAAATTGGTCTGACTTTACCATTCGGTTTAGGTATGAAGGTCATAGGTAAGTGTTCAAATCCCGAGGAAATTCGCCTGAGATATATATATATCATTCATTATGTCGAGCATTACCCTGAGGAGACTTTTGGGGAGAAGTGCAAGGATCTCGTAGGATATTTTGTCAAAGCCGGGCGATGAACTAATATCAACCGTGCTAAGTGCCTTTCGGAATTCCGCGAAGGACACGAAGCGGTGATGTATGAGTCACTAACGGGAATGTCGTTTAGGTCCGGATTTCGAATACTTGTAATTTATTCCGGTCTTATAGGTTCGCATAACTCGTTATCAGGAAACGATAGGTAAACATCAAGCTAATGTCGTTTAGGTCCGGATTTCGAATACTTGTAATTTATTCCGGTCTTATAGGTTCGCATAACTCGTTCAGGCATTTAAGAGAGTTTTCAACTATGGAGACATTTCCTGGAGTTGATACCGGTCTGTTCCAAGAATTTTTAAAAATTTTAATTTTTTGCCAAACACTTGATATACTTGTGGATTTATTGATGGAACTGCAAAAATTTTTAAAACTGTTTGTTTTTTCTCTTTTAAGGGTAAGTTTAGTTTCTGCTGCAATTTTTTAAAATTCTATCACGTCTTTCGGGCTACAGTGGTATTTCAAGGATTTTTGTTTAGCTGTTCTAAGTCTTACTACCTTGTCACAGTTAGCGTTCCACCAGACCGCGTTCTGTCTCCTCTAAAGGGGATGGTTTTTCTGAAATTTTTGTCTTGTTTCGTCACTCGGTTGGTATGACGGTATTTTTCTACCAGCGAGAGAGTTTTCTATGCAATTAGTTAAGAATTTTACAAACTGATCATATCTATCGGGTGGAGAGGAGTTGAGAAATTCTATACTGGAGAACAGGCCCTTATCGTCCGAGAGACTTTTCTGGAAAAGGATGTTATCGAGTCTGTTCAAATTANTGAGAACATTGGGTTTGAGATCTGCAATGAGTGATTCAACCGAAAACGGACCGTACGGATGGATCTTTCTCAGATTTGCCAAAAAAATGTCTCTTTGATCTTTGAATAATTCACACTGCCAGAATATGTGGTTAACTGTTTATGGACTTTGCTCGCATTCGCATTGTTCACTTATAACAATGTTGTGTCTAAACAGACTTACTTTTAATGATGTATGGTTGGACCTTATTCTATTTATGCTCACTAATGCTTTTCTTGGGATGCTGGAGTTGAGGCCAGCGAACCAGGGTTTATTAGATTTTTGAAAGAACGTTTGAAAATATTTTGTTCCCTTGCCCTTAACTTCGTATTCTTGTAGAATTTTGGACTCGTTTATCTTTTTTAGTTCTGATTTAAATGAGATGACAGCGTCGGAGTAAGGAATAGGTAAGTTAAGGAGGTGTCCGCTCTCAGCTCCTGCCCTGGCCATTTTATCAGCTTCCTCATTGCCTTGAATTCCCACATGGGATGGTACCCAGATAAGATGAACGTTTTTCCCTTCTAGAGAGAATTTTATGTATAGGTTCTTGGTTTCCAATATGAGAGTTGAGAAACTACCTTGGAGGGCTGAGAGGACGCTCAGTGAGTCAGAGAAGATTCTGAAGTCTGATTTGTCGCTTTGCCTTATACGACTAAGGGCCTGATAAATGGCTGTGCATTCCGCTGTAAAGATGGATGTCTCGTTAGGTAGTTGATATGAAAAGTTGAAGGGGTCATCTAGGCTATGGCTAGCAAGGCCAACTTGGTTTTGGTCGCCTATTTTAATTATTGAACCATCCGTGAATATGTCTGTGTAGTGTAGAGTATTGTTTTGATTGAATGAGTCATTAAACGCTACATATGGGTCAGGGGAATTTAGCAGTTTGTGGCCTATAGTTAAGTCTAGCTGGACTGGAAAAAAATTGTTCGAATATGGGTACAAGTACTGGGGGAGGATAGGGTAGAATTTGATGTTAAGATTGTGTTGACATATATTGGTGAAGCATTTTAGCAGTATCGAGGTGTCGAGATCGTATTCATGGTTGTAATTTTCGGAGGTCCTTTTAAGAGTGGTAATGTGTTTGATTGTAGGGTTGTTATCAGTTGATAATGCTTTTAGAATGAATTTGTAAGCCAGATATTTAGCCCTCAAGGAGAGATGCATTATTTTTGTCTCAGCTAAAATCACATTGATTGGAGTACTAGCTCTATATCCCATTGCTATTCTTAGGGATTTGTTCTGGATTCTTTCTAGTTTATCGGTATGGCATTTTGCACAGGGGAAGGTCAAAAAGGACCCATAATCTAGTTTGGATCTGATCAGAGATTTGTAAAGAAGAGTAAGCGTTTCTGGGTCAGCACCCCACCAAGTGTTTCTGAGGCATCTGAGAATTTTGAGTCCCTGGTTGGCTTTATTCACTAGTTTGACAGTATTAATACCCCAATTTAGTCTTTTATTAAAATGGATTCCTAGAAATTTGACTGATTTAAATGGATACATCTCTGTATTATTAAGTTGTATAGAGTATTGGTCCAGTTTAATGTTCCCTTTGGTGAATATCATAAGATCGCACTTCTCTGGTTCCAGTTCCAGACCTCTGTTGGATAGGTAGCTAGACATTTTGCCGGCCCCCGACTGTAGATGATCAAGTAGGGGAGGAATAAAGTATCCACTTACAGAGATTTCAAGGTCGTCTGTGAATTCCAGAATTGATATGTTACTGTTAAGGATTGATTTTATTCCTTTGGTATAGATAGCATAAAGCGTAGGGCTTAGTATACTGCCTTGAGGAAGGCCTTTGGTGGTGGTATAATTAGTATCTGAAGCGTCGATATTAACTGGGATTAAAATCCTATTTGAGATTAAATTTTTGATAAAGATGATAAATTGTTTGGGTAAGCCCAGCTTAACTAAATCATTAATAAGGAATGGAGGGATAACATTGTTGTAAGCTCCCTTGATATCCATAAAAAGAGATACGTGTTGTTTTTTTTTGGGCGAAACTGTTTTGAATACTGGTTGTTAGTTGAGCTAGGTTGTCCATGCAGGATTTCCCCTTCCTAAACCCATACTGGGATGGCGATAACAGCTGATTATGTTCTAACCAGTGAGTCAATCGGCTATTCAGCATTTTTTCCATTAATTTCAAGCTGCAGGATGCAAGCGAAACTGGTCTGACTTTACCATTCGGTTTAGGTATGAAGGTCATAAGGTAAGTGTTCCAATCCCGAGGAAATTCGCCTGAGATATATATATCATTCATTATGTCGAGCATTACCCTGAGGAGACTTTCGGGGAGAAGTGCAAGGATCTCGTAGGATATTTTGTCAAAGCCGGGCGATGAACCAATATTAACCGTGCTAAGTGCCTTTTGGAATTCCGCGAAGGAAAACGAAGCGGTGATGTATGAGTCACTAACGGGAATGTCGTTTAGGTCCGGGTTTCGAATACTTGTAATTAATTCCGGTCTTATAGGTTCGCATAACTCGTTCAGGCATTTAAGAGAGTTTTCAACTATGGAGACATTTCCTGAAGTTGATACCGGTCTGTTCCAAGAATTTTTAAAAATTTTAATTTTTTGCCAAACACTTGATATACTTGTGGATTTATTGATGGAACTGCAAAAATTTTTAAAACTGTTTGTTTTTTCTCTTTTAAGGGTAAGTTTAGTTTCTGCTGCAATTTTTTAAAATTCTATCACGTCTTTCGGGCTACAGTGGTATTTCAAGGATTTTTGTTTAGCTGTTCTAAGTCTTACTACCTTGTCGCAGTTAGCGTTCCACCAGACCGCGTTCTGTCTCCTCTGAAGGGGATGGTTTTTCTGAAATTTTTGTCTTGTTTCGTCACTCAGTTGGCGTGACGGTATTTTCCTACCAGCGAGAGAGTTTTCTATGCAATTAGTTAAGAATTTTACAAACTGATCATATCTATCGGGTGGAGAGGAGTTGAGAAATTCTATACTGGAGAACAGGCCCTTATCGTCCGAGAGACTTTTCTGGAAAAGGATGTTATCGAGTCTGTTCAAATTAAATCTGTATTCTAGTTTAGTTATCGTTACTGGCACTGCTCTTATAAAGATATAAATTGGAAAATGATCACTAGACCATAGTACATCTGCGACGTTCCAGTGTACATCAAGTGCTATATCCGGCGAAGCTATTGAGAGGTCAATACAAGAATATGTGAGAACGTTGTTGCGTATTGTAAGGCATGTTGGTCGGCCGTCATTGAGTAAGAAAAATTTTTCAGGATCCAGACTATCAGCGACAGTTGTGTCATTACTGCAGTTTTTATCGCTACCCCACCACAGATGGTGGGCATTAAAGTCTCCCATCAGAATAAATCTTTGTAATTGGGATATTTCGATCATAAATTCGTCCCATTCTGTTGGATTTAAATTGTGGGCGTGATTGGGTGGTCGATAAATTGAAACTAGTATTAATGGGCCAGATTGAGTGCTTACTTCTATTGCT